AAACAATTTTCGGAACACACACACACACTTTAACAAGAAAGCCATCAACATAGGGATTCGGACAAGTATCATTCCACAGCTTACGGAGAGACAGACAGACAGACAGACAAACAGACAGACTACCTTACACCACACATCAAGGGGCGGTCATTACACTGGCTCTCTCAACTCTATCTGATTATCATTGTGAATATATAATCCTCTGATGGTGTGTAACAATGGTCCTTCTATCACCATCCTCACTATCACCATCCTCACCACCACTACCACCACCACCTCTCTCTCTCACTCCACCACAACAACACACACACACACACACACTCTCACACACACAACACACACTCTCTCTCTCATCACCAACCACCACCCACCACCACACACACACACACACAACACCACACAAACCACACACATCACACACACACCCACACACCACACCACCCACACACACCACACATCATCATCATCACCCTCACACCACCACCACCACCACCACCACCACCATCACCACCACCACCACCATCACCACCTACCATCTAGTCTGGGTACAGTGAAACCACCCCTATAACGGACTTACCTCCATATAATCCGTTATTAGAGGGTTTCACATCCAACAGACCCTCGATATTACGGACTTTCTCCTCGATACGGTTTGTTTACATATAATTTTAAAGTCATGAAGTCAGTTCGATTCTTCAAATATTTCTATGTCAATTATGGATCTAAATTATCCCAGTTTAGTTCTGTTCCACCCTATGGCCAATTCTCTTTGGTTTATACAGAACAAAAAATGGTTCAATTCATCTCAGTGAGTAAAAAATTTCAATTGAGTTCGATATATTTTTTTTCCATTTCTGTCCAACTTTTGAAACGTTAATTATACAGGTGAGGGTGCCAACTACACCTGTCAGCTGGCCACCCCACACCATCTGTCAGTTAGCCACCCCACACCACCTGTCAGCTAGCCATCCCACACCATCTGTCAGCTAGCCAACCCACAACACCTGTCAGCTGGCCCCACCCCACACCACCTGTCAGCTAGCCATCCCACAACATCTGTCAGCTAGCCCCACCCCACACCACCTGTCAGCTAGCCAACCCACAACACCTGTCAGCTGGCCCCACCCCACACCACCTGTCAGCTAGCCATCCCACAACATCTGTCAGCTAGCCATCCCACACCATATGGGAATTAACTGCGTAACACACGTTGTCTCGCCAGGGAGGAATGGGGGAGGGGGAAATGGGAAGAGAGGGAGACGATGAGACGGTTAAGAATGGGGGAAGAGGGGGCGAGGAGGAATGGGGGAGAGGGGAAAATAGGAGGTGATGGAGGAGGAGAGGGCGTCTATGGGTAGGCCTATTTAAAGGGTAAATCTGATATATTAAGGGAATAAATCTGTGCTAGTTAAAGGGGCAAATCTGAGACACTAACGAGGCCAATCTGAAAAGTAACGAAGTAAATCTGGAAATAGTTTAGAGGAAAGTCTGTCGTCGGAGTTACTGTTATAAAGGGTTAAATAAAAGGGTTAGGGGTAAAAAAAAGGGGTTATCCAGACCTATGTAAAGGATTAAATAAAGGGGCAAGGGGTTAAATAAAGGGGTTATCCAGACTAACATAAAGGGTTAAATAAAGGGGTTATTCAGACCTATGTAAAGGGTTAAATAAAGGGGTTATTCAGACCTATAAGGATTAAATAAAAAGGGGGCTAGGGGTTAAATAAAGGGGTTATCAGGACTCACCTTTAACCAGGATATGGAGGTAGTTGTCATAGCCGGTAAGACAGTACAGGTGAAGGTGCGAGTGTCGTCAGCCTTGGCATGAGTACAGTGACAGACGGTACCTCAGTTCTCGCTCTAGCCTGTTGATAGCCCAGCCTTAGGGGAGACAGGGGGGGGTGATATTCTTGTTTCTATTTGTTATTTGTTATATTGTTTTTTTGTCTGTCTCTTGTTTCTTGTATTTGTTATCGTATTTATCTGAGTCTCTTTTTTCTTTGTTTTTGTTGTCACTTATTTTGTTTTCTGTCTCTTTTATTTCTTCGTTTTGTTTATCTTTTATTTTATTTTTCTATCTTACCTGTGCTTGTTTCTCTCTCTCTCTCTCTATCTCTCTCTCTCTCTCTCTCTCTCTCTCTCTCTCTCTTTCTCTCATCAGGTAAATGACTAAACAGCGTAAAACCGACAACCTAAGACGACAGGTGGAAGCGTCTCCCATTGGTCGATATTAAAGTGCTGTATGAGTATTGGCACATACATACATATCTTCATACATACATACATACATATCTTCATACATACATACACTTCATACATACATACACACATACATACATAAATATCTTCATACTTACATACATACATACATACATATCTTCATACATACATACACTTCATACATACATACACACATACATACATAAATATCTTCATACTTACATACATACATACACATCTCCATACATATATACACTTACACATACACATATACATACATAAACACACAAATTTTCATACATACATACACTTACACGTATTCATAAACTTATAAACACATATACATATTGATTCACATGCACATATAATCTTACATATAACAGATACATATTCTTACACACACACACACACACACACACACACACACACACAGCGAAAATAATACGAGCATATACTGTATATTTACGTAAGAAAAACAACCACCATCACACCTTTAACCTAACCTAACCTAACCATCACACCTTTAACCTAACCTAACCTAACCTAACCATCACACCTTTAACCTAACCTAACCTAACCATCACACCTTTAACCTAACCTAACCTAACCATCACACCTTTAACCTAACCTAACCAAAACAAATATGCGACAGTAAAGAAAATATTTTAATAATGATAAATGTTGTTGTCATATTACGATTGTTTCTGTCATAGTAATTAGCCCAGGAGAGAGAGAGAACACAATTTTGCCACCGGGACACAATTCACGTGAGTAAATCCTTGTCTCCAGCAGGACAATAACAACTCCTTGCCAGATACTGCCAGCAGCACCAACACGGGATAATGATAATGATGATGATAATAACAATAATAATAATAATAATAGCCCCAAGTCTGTCTCCCTGTCTTTCACTGCATCTGTCTATCTCTATCCTTCTGTCTACCTGTCTTTTCCTGTCTGTCTGTCTCCCTCACCTTCTACACCTGTGCGTAACACCAACAGCGGTTAATGAGATTCACCTTACGAACACTCACAGGTAGGTTAGGTTAGGTCAGGGTAGGTTAGGTTAGGGTAGGTCAGGTTAGGGTAGGTCAGGTCAGGTTAGGTCAGGTTAGGGTAGGTTAGGTTAGGTTAATTTAGCATTCCATTCCACCAAGTTAGATTAGATTAACATTAACATTCTTAACCACTAGAAGACTCCAGGTGGGTTTCTTACTTAATCTTCATCAGTTCTGGATTAAGACAATAACACTGTCTTGCCCCAGAAACAACATTACCGGGTATATTAGTGGTGTAAGTTACTCAGTTCTCGCCCCCAAGTGGTCGACAAAAATTATGGCTCACAGTTCCCAAAGGTGAGGGAGGGAGGGAGGGAGGGAGGGAGGGAGGGAGGGAGGAGGGAGGAGGGAGAGGGAGGGGGGTTGGGAGGGAGGGAAGAGTTGGGAGGGAGGGAGGAGGAGGGAGGGAGGAGGGAGGGAGGGAGGGAGGGAAGGGGGGTTGGGAGGGAGGGAGGGAGGGAGGAGGGAGGGAGGGAGGGGGAGAGGAGGGAGGGAGGAGGTTGGGAGGGAGGGAGGGAGGGAGGGAGGGAGGGAGGGAGGGAGGAGGGGGTTGGGAAGGGGGTTGGGAGGGGGGAGGGGAGGAGGGAGGGAGAGGGGAGGTTGGGAGGGGAGGGAGGGAGGGAGGGAGGGGGAGGGAGGGGGAGGGAAGGGGGGTTGGGGAGGGGGAGGGAGGGAGGGAGGAGGGAGGGTTGGGAGGGAGGGAGGGAGGGAGGAGAGGAGGAGGGAGGAGGGAGGGAGGGAGGGTTGGGGAGGGTTGGGGAGGGAGGGAGGGGAGGGAGGGAGGGAAAGGAGGGAGGGAGGAGGGAGGGAGGGAGGGTGGGGAGGAGGGAGGGGGGAGGGAGGAGGGAGGGAGGGGGAGGGAGGGGGAGGGGGAGGGAGGAGGAGGAGGGAGGGAGGGAGGAGGGAGGAGGAGGAGGGAGGGAGGGAGGGAGGGAGCGAATGAGTGAGTGAGTGATTAAGTGAGATGAGTAACGCGAGTGAGTGAGGTGAGTAACGCGAGTGAGTGAGGTGAGTAACGCGAGTGAGTGAGGTGAGTAATGGAAGTGTTTCAGCAGCAAGAAAAGTTTCCATTGCTTTACTTCACAGCATAAATTCACCACACAATCCCTTATGAATTTCAAAGTCCGAGTAATGAATTGTCTTGAGAGGTGTGTGTGTGTGTGTGTGTGTGTGTGTGTGTGTGTGTGTGTGTGTGTGTGTGTGTGTGTGTGCCACAATAAATGTCTTCGTATTAATTATATGAATGAAAACTCCTCAAGTGGACAAAAAATAAGACGGAACGAATGACTCAGAGACAAACTTTTCTTTTGCGACTTGGTAACACTGGCTCTTGTGTCAGGGGGGTTGGCAACACTGTCCAGGGGTGTGTGAGTGGCAACACTGGCAGGGGCTGTGTGTGTGTGTGTATGGGGTTGGCAGCACTGGCAGGGGCTGTGTGTGTGTGGGGTTGGCAACACTGTCAGGGTGTGTACGTGGGGGTGGCAACACTGGCAGGGCTGTGTGTGTGTGGGGTTGGCAACACTGTCAGGGTGTGTACGTGGAGGTGGCAACACTGGCAGGGCTGTGTGTGTGGGGTTGGCAACACTGTCAGGGTGTGTACGTGGAGGTGGCAACACTGTCAGGGTGTGTACGTGGAGGTGGCAACACTGGCTGGCCAAGAACTTAACACCGCTCAAAGTTAAACAATTATTCGTGATTACCAAACTTGTCTGATGGACGTCATTACACTACAGGCTACTGACAACAACAACCACTACCAACAACCATTAACAACACCCTCTAGCAACAACTATTAACAACAACCATTAACAACCACTACAACACTCATTACCAACAACTATAACAATCATTAAGTTACAACAACCAACACTACCAACAACTACAACAACCATTAACAACATCAACTACAACAATCATTAACAACTACTACTATAACAACCACTACAACAACTACAAGTAGCATTAAGAAAAGCCTATAGCAACAACAGTACATCTTATTCAGTATTTTTAAAGTGATTATTATTATTATTATTATTATTATTAACCAACAACCCACACACACACACACACACACACACACACACACACACACACACACACGCACGCACACACACACACACACACACACCTATCAAGTAATTCAGGGTCACCTCTCCATAATCCACTTAGGTCATTACTAATACAGTTTGTGTCACTTAAAAGGAAACGAGATAAGTAATCAATCAACCACATGACCCAAAAATAGTCGATACAGATTAGGTTATGGAGACAGACCTCGTTCATCACTAGTTAACTCTGTGACAATACCGCTAAGAGCAATGTATTGACCTGACCTGACCTGGGATGAAGGGTGTGTGTGGGGGGGGCGCTTATATCTCTCTCTCTCTCTCTCTCTCTCTCTCTCTCTCTCTCTCTCTCTCTCTCTCTCTCTCTCTCTCTCTCTCTCTCTCTCTCTCTCTCTCTCTCTCTCTCTCTCTCTCTCTCTCTCTCTCTCTCTCTCTCTCTCACCTGTCGGGTACTGTCGGAAGCTCGAAGTCCAGGCCCAGGTAGGGTTACCGTGGAGACGTGGGTAGAGGCAGTCCAGGTGTAGGATTGAGCCAGGTAACAGCACCAGGGAGCCAGCTACATCCAGCACTCCTTCACCTCCGGCTACTGACCAATCCAGGGCCGGCGGCGACTCATCAGCTGTAGGAGGTGATGAAGAAGGTGGTGAAGGTGGTGGTGAAGGTGGTGAGCGAGTGGTGGTGGTGAAGGTGAGGTGGTGATGGTGGTGGTGAGGTGGTGGTGATGTGGTGGTGGTGAAGGTGAGGTGGTGATGGTGGTGGTGGTGGTGATGGTGGTGGTGGTGGTGATTGCTCGATAGGCTGTATGTGGTTTGGTGGTAATGTGTGTGTGTGTGTGTGTGTGTGTGTGTGGAAACAAACGAAAAATAAGCAACCATAAAACTTACCTTTAAGCTGGGGTGGGTGGGTGGAGTGCCTCCCCTATTTCTAATTCATAGGGGCGTAAAATATTGTGTGTGGAAAAATGGTCAGTGTTGGCTGACCAGGGGATTATAGAGGCTCCAAGATAAGTGATGGAGAAATGGTGGAGAAAGAGGTGGGTAGTGGTGGAGAAAGAGGTGGAGTAGTGGTGGAGAGAGGTGGAGTAGTGGTGGAGTGGTGGTGAAGTAGATTAATTGGAGAAAGAATTGGTGTAGTGGTGGAGAGGTGGAAAGAAAGGAGAAGAGGTCAATCCATAGTCAACAACGTGTGTGTGTGTGTGTGTGTGTGTGTGTGTGTGTGTGTTCTTCAAATGCTTTAATATGAGTTTATACACGTCATACTCTCTCTCTCTCTCTCTCTCTCTCTCTCTCTCTCTCTCTCTCTCTCTCTCTCGTATCTAAATCTATACTTATATTATATTTTTTCAAAGTATTTTTTAAATCAGTTGAAAAGTCACCTTGATGATACCAGACACACCTAACCTAACGTAATCCTAACCTAACCTAACCTAACGTAATCCTAACCTAACATAACGTAATCCTAACCTAACATAACGTAATCCTAGCCTAATCCTAACCTAACATAACGTAATCCTAACCTAACCCAACATAAACCTAACCTTATATCTCAACCTGACAGCTATTCGTGGGGAAACTTTGAAAACCTGAACTTGCTGGCAGTGATATTTTTACAATGAAACTTTCTGACTGAAAAAAATATAAACTTGTAGAGAAATTCGTGACTTATCTCACTGAATGTGTGGATGAATGAATGTGTGGATGTATGAATGTGTGTAATGTATGTATGAATGTGTGTATGTGTATATGGGAATGTGTATGTATGAATGCGTTTATGTGTATGAATGTATGCGTATTTGTATGACTGTGAATGTGTGTATGTGTTTGAGTGGAGGCATGTACAGGTATGTGTGAATGTGTGTATGTATGAATGTGTGAGCGTATGGGTGAATGTATGTGTGTACTGTATGTGTGTGTGTGTTTGTTTTATTCCCTGGTGTATTGTGGTGGTACAGACAGGGGCGGGAGCAGGCTGTGATAATCTCCTTGTGTTTTGAATAGAACTTCTGACCTGAACAACACCATACACACACAACTCAGAGCGCTAAGCTTTTAAGCTCAGTGTGGCGGCTGCTGGAAGCTTGGCAATTTCCTAGTGCTCTTGGTCGGTTAGTTAGTTATTTGTTTAGGATTTCTAGTATACAATTGGTAGTTTATATCAGGCTAACTGACCTGTCCTAACCTAATTTAACCTAACCTATTCCAGCTTAACCCATCCCTTCCTAACCTAACCTAACCTAACCTAACCTAACCTCACCAACATCTAAAAGGGTGTGATTCTTTTCCATTTTCTTTCTATTCTATTTTCGTTTCACACAAAAATGTGGGATGATATAAAAAAAACTAATCCTTTATCCATTTTTTTCTATTTACTTTTGTTCTATTAATATTTTTTTTCTTCTCCTTTGTTTTGTTTTTCACTTTTGCTTTACTTGTTATTTTCTATTTTTTCCCCAAAGCCAAAAATAATAATTAATGCGATTTAATTTATCTGTCAATATTTTTTCTTTTATTTCCTATTTATATGTTTATTTCTATTTCATTTATCATTTGGTTTCCTTTCATTATTTATTCTATTTATTTCTCTCACTTGAAAGATAAAAAAAATAAACTTTCGATGCTCAATAATACCAGATATAAGTTTGTTTACCTTCTGTGTGAGACATGCAGGAACAAAACGGGGAATACACTTTTTAAATCTCTCCTGTACGTAATCTAAAACACACATCACCTAACATACAGACGTACACACACACACAAGGCTATTAACTATCTAATAAGCTGGTTGAGTTGTAATGATAGGGAAAGATCTATGAAAATGACTCTTAAGTGATGATTTTAATTCCATTATAATTCTCACTGTACCCGAAGTTTTCCCGCGCAAAATTTCCCTAGTTTTCCCGCGTAAAAATCCAATCACAATACCCTAGGCTGTGATGTTTATAGACATATTCCGGGGTCGGTTAGTATACATTTTCAACCTGTGATTAAAATAAGGCCTTCACTCTAATCACCTCGTTCAGTAATAAAGTCGTTTGAATCGCTTTAGCTCATCCAGAACATAATCTAGATTAGTCTGAATTGTTTTGCATTTAGTAATTAATCTTACTTAACACTAGATTAAATATAAAAAAATAAATAGGACTGCTGGATTATTTTTTACATGAATTTTTCCCGACTAATGTTCCTTTAATCAGACATATAATATTTACGGTGGCGTAGTGGTTATAACAGTGATTTAACAACCTAGGTAATTCTAGTTCGAACCCTTAATTATAACTTAAACATTAAATAACTTAATAATTAACGAAAATACAGGTAGTTAATCAATAAAATAGGATAATGTAATAAAAAATATATATTAAAAATTGGAATATATGTCTTAGGGTTGGCGACCACGGCCCACTCACAGTCCTTATTTACAAGACGTCTTTACCAACCCTCCCAAAATTTTGTCTCTCTGGAAACACTAAAACTTATAATCTTATTCATTCATCAAACTCTACGTCTCTCCTTCCCTCACTTCTACCCATTAATATCCCTATTTTTCCCTCACCTCCCCCCCCCCCTATTTACCTCAATTACCTCATTTTCCTGAGTTTATTTGTTTTGGTTATTTCTCTCACTGCCGTAGCCAATCATAGTCTTTGTTTTTGTTTGTTTGTTTAAGGTGTTTTTGCTGTCTCCTGTGTGGTCACATCTCAAAGGCCTTTAACCTCTTCCATATAACAACCACTGAGGTAGTTAAGAACGTTGTTACACTTACCATAGCAGTTAGGGAGACTAATTTACACTCACCACAAATTTAGGGAAGACAATTTACACCCACCAGAGTTATTAGAGAGAGCAATTAACACTCACCATAGCAATTAACCCCAGCAATTAGAGACAGAGCAATTAATACACTCACCGGAATAGTTAGAGAAGTAGTTAGTGTGAATACAAACTGGGAACCGGCCCTTCCACTTGGCGTTGGTACAGGTAAGGTCAGAGTCACCCAGTAACTTGTATTTACCGGGACGTTCACACCTGCCCGAGATCACTGACCCGTGTGGAAACTCAAGCTCGGGCGATGGCTGAGGGAAGAACAAGATAAATACGGGTTAATAGCAGGTTAATATACGGGTTAATAGCAGGTTAATATACGGGTTACTAGCAGGTTGATAAACGAGGGTTAATAGGAGGTAAACATACTGATTATTAGGTTAGGTGTAGTTAGGTCAGGTCAGGTCAGGTCAGGTCAGGTTAGTGTAGTTAGGCTGTACCAGGTTAGTGTAGTATAGGTCAGGTCAGGTGTAGTTAGGTCAGGTCAGGTGTAGTTAGGGTCAGGGTGTAGTTAGGCTCAGGTTAGTGTAGTTAGGTCAGGTCAGGTCAGGTTATAACATATGTCTTAATGCCACTTGTCACTTACCTGTCAAACACCACAATCGTTTCCTTCATTTACCTTCTCTTCTTCAGGATTATTTTGCTTTTTATTTTACGAATTAGGCCACTAACATAACCTAACCTAACCTAAATAAACCAAACCTAACCTAACCGAAATAGATCTAACCTAATCTAACCTAACCTAACCAAACTTAACCTAACTTAACTAAACCTAACTAAACCAAACCAAACCAAACCTAACCCATCATCCACTCACACTCATCCATCACCACCAGCCAGCAGCCACCACAACACATGTTTTCAGCCACTCATCCGGATACAACACATTCTCCAGGAGTTGAATGGGATTTTCTGAGAATCCTTGATTGTCTGGTAGCGGTGGTCCGTGTAATAGCCTCCACGCCGGCCAGGTCTGGAGAAGTGGGGGGTGAGTGTGGTGAAGTGTGAATAAGTATGTGAGGGTGGAGGGGGAGGAAGTGTGTGGGGGAGGGGGAGGAAGTGTGGGGGAGGGGAAGGAAGTGTGTGGGGGAGGGGGAGGAAGTGTGTGGGGGGGAAGGAGGTGTGTAGTGAAGCGTTAAGAAACATATAGTGAAGTGTACAATATCTATATATATATATAAAACTTGCGTGAATGTCTAAAAGTTCACTGACATGTCTTTTAAACTTTCGTCGGAGTCTCTTAAAATGTGCTGGATGAAGTTTAAACAAGTGTACAGGAAAATGCACATAAAAGGCCCAAAGTGTGTAGCAAAACCTCGGAATAGTGTACAATGAAGCTTTAAATTCTCTCTTAAAAGTGTTTGGTAAAGTCTCTAACAGCGGAAAGTGTTTAAAAGTGTATGGTAAAATCTCTAAAAGTGGCAGAAAATTCCTAAAAAAAGTATTTGGTAAAGTCTCTGAAAGTGGCGGAAAAAAAAAAGCGCGGGAATATGAAGTTGCAGCTGACACAGTTAATTGTAAACTCTGATACTTTAATTAACTGTGGTGATACTTAACGTTTGTATACCGTGTAAACTATAACGAAATAATACGTAGTCACTAGTTCTTAGCGCGTAAAGTTTGCCATCCGTGAGGTTAAAATTTGCCAAAGTTTACTGAAAAGCTCGACAAGGCGGTAAAAGTTTAGGACCATCGTCTGACGTTGTTTGTGTTGGATCTTACGGTCATATTTACACATTTTGAGGAAGTTTTTTCCGCCAAGTTAATGACACAACGAGATACAGGTTAGGTTAAAAAGTTTAATTTACAGGTTAGGTCAAAAAGTTTATTTACAGGTTATGCTATATTTTTTAATTTTAACTTTGACTTCACGGTAAAAACACTAAAATACATAATGAAATAGAGTCAATTTTATTATAAAGTGACGAATCATCTTAGCTATATAAATACCTCATAAACCCAACCATGATATAAAATTATTCTCTTTTATACAACACGTAAATACCTTCTCAATCAAAACATCAATAAACAGATGAACTACAGAACTATTTATTGTTTCAAGAATTAAATCAACACACCAAAAAGATGAACTTGTGAGATATTAAGGAACTAAAGAGATTATATGAGGCGAGGGAGTTATTAAGAGATAAATAAAGAAATATATATATAGAGAGAGAAGAGGAGGTATATAGGGTAATAAAGGAGATATATGGTATAATATAGGAGATAACGTAATTTATGAACCAGTGGTAGACGCGGCATATTCAAGGAGCTAGGGTGAACCGTAGCTAGGGTGAACCGTAACTAGGGTGAACCGTAGCTAGGGTGAACCGTAGCTAGGGTGAACCGTAGCTAGGGTGAACCGTAGCTAGGGTGAACCGTAACTAGGGTGAACCGTAGCTAGGGTGAACCGTAGCTAGGGTGAACCGTGCTAGGAAGAACCGTAGCTAGGAAGAATCAGAAGCATGAGAATCACGGTCAGGGAGGAACCAGAACTAGGAGAACCATAGCTAGGAGAACCGTAGTCAGGTAGAACCAGAACTAAGGAGAACCACAGTCAGAGAACCACAACCAGGGAGAAAAAATCAGGGAGAACCACAGTCAGGGAGAACCAGAACCAGGAGAACCACGGTCAGGGAGAACCAGAACCAGGGAGAACCACAGTCAGGGAGAAGATGAACGAGGGAGAACCAAGAACCGGTGGATGAGTGTCAGGCTGTCAGATATCAGAACCAAACTCACGACTCTGAGAAGTTGTTGACAAAGTGAAACAACTTAGGTGAGATATATCGAACTTGGTGCTTTATCATATCTGTCTGTCTCTCTCTGTCTGTCTGCCTGTCTGCCTGTCTGTCTGTCTCTGTCTCTCTCTCTTTCTCTCTATGTATCTATCTTCTCTATTATATACTGTATGTAATAAACCATACACAAAAATATAACAACAACAACAACAACAATAAATAAAAATAATAATAATAATAATAATAATAATAATAATAATACTATCACTACTACTACCATTTATAACAAACAAATAAGTCTTTTTCATTCAAATAGTTGAACATTTAAACCTCGAACACAATATATTTCTTCCTACTACGAGACCAAAATATATCTCTTTTGGCAGGAGGAAAAAAAATGGAACATATATATATACACTTTCTATAATATCATCTCTGTTAAATTGTCTTCTATTCGCGCCAACCTTCCCTGTCTAGGAAACGACACACATATTCACATTTACCGTCGAAAATCTGATTTGTTCCTCAGCCACAAACGGAGATCTCCCGCCGCATCTTGTGTGAGTTGGTCGGTGGAGGGGGTGAGGGAAGGAAGGGAGGGGGGAGGGAGGGAAGGGGTGAGGGAGGGAAGGGGTGGAGGAGGGGAAGGGGTGAGGGAGGGAAGGGGGGTGAGGAGGGGAAGGGGGTGAGGGAGGGAAGGGGGGGAGGGAGGGAAGGGTGAGGAGGGAAAGGGGTGAGGGAGGGGAAAGGGTGAGGGAGGGGAAAGGGGGTGAGGGAGGGGAAGGGGGTGAGGAGGAAGGGGGGTGAGGGAGGGGAAGGGGTGAGGAGGGGGGAGGGAGGGAAGGGGGTAAAGTGATGTTACAATGTTACCGCAGTGGACATAACTGACGGTCACTGCACCACACACTCCACTTTTTCCCTAATGTGACAGGAACTAACTCTTACGAAATGAGAGAGAAAAAGAGAGAAGAGAGAGAGAGAGAGAGAGAGAGAGAGAGAGAGAGAGAGAAGATGGCATGGGATATTGTATTCTAGCGTGTGTGTTAAATCTCTCTCAGTCTCTATTTATCTCCCTAATTTGTCTCATTTCACACTATTACTGAGACAAGTTTGGTGTCTAAGAATGTATGTTATCTTCCAGGTGTTCATCAGGTAAGGATAGACAGTCTTCCTTCTCACCTCATTAACAAACCTAGTAGTAGTAGTAGTAGTAGTAGAAAAAGTACTGAGGCTCCTCCACTACTCAGTACCGTATCGTGTCAACTTCAGGTGAGGACAACCTTAGGATCTAATGAACCTATAGTGTACAGGTGACTTGAGGCCTCAGGTAAGTTAATTAGTCTAACGGGTCAGGTAGGAAAAATAGGGAGGAGGTAAAGGTCACGAAGTTCTGCAAATTTGAATACTGTTGGAACTACAAAGGTAACGTAAAGTAAAGGTAAGAGTAAGGTTAAAATAAGGTAAGGTAAAGGTAAATGGAAGTAAGGTAAAGAAAGGTAAGTAAAAAAAGGGAGTTAGGTAAGGTAAAATGAGTTAGGTAAAAGAGTAAAAGGTAAGGTAAAGGTAAGGTTAGGTAAGGTAAGGTAAGATAAAGGTAAAGTATAAGTAAAGTAAGGTTAGGTTAGAGTAAGGTTAGGTAAGGATTAGGTTAGGTTAGGTAAGGTAAAAGGTAAGGTAAGGAAAGGTAAGGTAAAATAGGTAAGGTAAGGTTAGAGTGGATTAGGTAAGGTAAGGTAAGGTAAGGTAAGGTTAGGTAAGGTAAAGGTAAGAAGGTATTGGAGTAAGGTAAAGGTAAAAAGGTAAAAGGTAAGGTAAGGTAAGTAAAGGTAAGGTAAAGGTAAGGTAAGGTAAGGTAAAATGGAAGTAAGAGTTAGGTAAAGAGTAAGAGTAAATGAGTTAAATGAGTAAGATGAAATATAAATAATATTAAGGCAAGATTAAGCAAATAAAAAAATGAATTAGGGTAAAATGTAAGAAATAAAGTAAAATGGAAATTAAATAAAGTAAAAATGAAGTTAAGTAAAAAAGTAAAAGTAAAGTAAAGTAAATAAAAATAAAATGAATTAAGTAAAAAAAGTAAAAATGAAATTAGAATTAAGTAAAGTAAATGAAGTAAAATGAAATAAGAATTAAATTAAGTAAAATAAGTAAGTAAATAGAATTAAGTTAAGTTAAATTAAATAAAATAAAATAAAATTAGGTAAAATTAAATAAAAAGGTAAGGTAAGGTTAGGTTAGGTTGGAGGTTAGGTGATGGGTAAGGTAAGGTTAGGTGGAGTAAGGTAAAAGGTAAGAAAAGGTAAGGTAAGGTTAGGTAAGGTAAGTGGAGTTAGGTTAGGTAAGGTAAGGTAAGGTAAGGTAAGGTTAGGTTAGGTAAGGTGAGTTAGTTAAAAGTTAAGGTAAGGTTAGGTAAGGTAAGGTAGGTAAGGTAAAGGTGGGTTAGGTTAGAGTTACCTCACTAGAATAACAACAGTAAGCTCATCTCTCAACGCCCTCTGTCGGTCTGTTAG